CATGCAACCACAATGGGCTTCATAAATCTAGAAGTACAGGTTGTGTCTGTCCGAACCTAAACTCCATGAGAGCGTCGTTGCCTAGCTGCGCATGCTGGTGCAGGAGACAACCAATCATGTGGCGACCCTCAACCAATCATGGCTATCCATTCTCCAACCCAAGAAAAGAATCGACAGCCAAGAAAAAAATTTGGGGCACGTACGGAGCTGCCGCCTAGGGTATACAGAAAAACACCACCGCCGCCCTTGCTCCTAGGGCCTCGCCATCGCCACGCCTCCACCTAGGGCCCCTCTCCTTCTTCCTCTCTGGTGCGTCTGCTAGAGGTAAGAAGGAGAGGGGACCCATCTCTCTTTTTCATAGTTTTAGTTCCAGTTTGTTTAGGGTTTAGTCTAAATAAATCTTCTAACGAAATCAGATGATTTTTAGGTAGAATCGTTTTTCCTGTAATGACGTCGATGATTGCCACGACAAGATCGTTGTTGTAGGCATCGATTTCATCGGTAGACGGCCAATTTATGGCCTTTATCTATAAGGGGAGTGGTGCTTCCGGGAGCCCCCTACGAGGACAGCGACTCCGGGTCATGGATCTCATCGTCGGTGGTCGCGGAGAGGATTTCAAGGTCTGTAGGTGATGTATTTGTAGCCTATGTCTTACCTGACGATACAACTATCAATATTCTTTCAGAGACTTAGATGCGCTTTGGACTGGTTCCGAAATGTTGGATCTTACGTCATGTCCAATGTTTTAGGATTTATAGCATCCGGTTTTAAGAACAAAACCAGATACACACCATATGTGAGCCTATGAAGTCAAATCTCATATATAGTTACAAATAAGGGTAATATCAATAGACAATGCTCAATATATAATGTACTTAGTATAAATGATATAACCTTAGACAGCAAACAGTAGAAAGACAACTCCGATCTTCAGATGAAGACTCTAATTTCACAGGGACAACTGACTAGTTGATTACAAGCCTAATTCCTCGAAACTCTAGCAATCTAGTACCCATCCGGGATTTTTCTAGTGATTTAAAAAGTAAAACAAGCGTAAGTACATGTCGTACTCAACAAATATAACATGGGGTTCATGAGGCTCAAGAAGCTAACACTGGTTCAACTGCGATTAGCTTTTAATGAGTTATGATTTTAGCAATTGAGTAGCAACAAGTTCATTACAAGCCCATAAACACATGATCAGGTAATCATGAATAATGACAGCATAAACAGTAATCATTAGGGAGCATCTTTATCATCAGTGTTCATCATCTATTCTGTAAGGGTTCCAAGGCCGCTCGTGACCGTGAGCACGACTGTTATAACAGTTTTACACTCTGTAGAGGTTGTATACTTTCACTCTGAGTCATATTTTACCCTTTCGCCCGAGGTCATGAGCCTCTTAACCCACTACCAAGGAAGGTCGGCAGGGTTCACTACGAATCCTTTCAAAGGTTCATCTAACAAGTTAGGGCCGCTAGGTTTCTGTGCCCTGTGAATGTAGGGCTCCCCTTCCGATAGGTACAATAATGTGCAACCTATACACTGACGTACAGAGGCCACACTATATCCAACCCAAAACACACCCCTCTTGGGCCATAAAGGTAACCTCTAACAAGCGAGAAAAAGTCCTCATACTGAGCTAAAGCCAGAGCCATATAACCCTCATAGCTGTACTATAAGTCCTGGATGATCAGTTACAGATAAGTCCTTAGGGAGAGGAATCTAGAGCACCATAAGATTAGCCTAATGCTCTAGCCCCCTTATTCCATGTTGCTAAAAATCATCTTTTAGTGTTTATTGCATATTCCATTAGTCAAGTTACAAGATCATGACTTTAGTTGAGCACTAGCATCATACTACCCAATGCAATACCCCATTGGTATCAAGGAATCCAAGATATCAAATAGCTAGGAAAATTACTACGGTTGCCAAGGTAGACACATGCAGTATGCATTAAATGATTAAAGGTGTATAGGACAACAAGGAAGATCCCATGTTATACTTGCCTTAAAACTCAGATCCTTCTTCTACTAAATTGTAACCTCTAAAGGACTTCTTCTGGATCACCAACTTCCTTTATATCACCAACGCAAGCTCACCGACCGGATATGATCATAAAGCACCACGCAAGCATCTATGCAATCATACATGAAGCAAATAATAGAACTAAATCAGAACAGTACATCAATTATGGAAAAATAAGTAAAAGAGTTTGAAACACGATTCTACGCATCGCTACGAACACACAATCGCGAGAGACACGCTAATCGGAGCTACAGTTTGAAAGAAACGGCTACCGAAAGATCTACTCATAAGAGAAAATATAAAACTATAAGCTTCACGTGTTTTAACTATATAAAAGCATATATAAATTGAATTAAGTTAAATTTAGATTTGAATTATAAAACTAAAGTAAAATAAATCGTATTTTACTTATAAAATTTAGTTGCATAATTATTATTCAAGTTAGAGTTTAAACCATGAAATTTCAGAAATAGTGACATGATAAATATTGTTACTAACGCGTAAATCTCATTGTAATGAATCTAGCACAACTTGAACGGGGCAAATCAGAGCTAAAACGTAGAAGATATGAATTATACAAGATTTCCTTTAATAAAATAATAGATTAAATCTAACCTCAAATTTTAAAAGTTGAAAACATATCTATCGGTAGTATGAACATGTAGATTATGAAATTACGAACCTAATACAAGTTGAACGGATCAAATCGGAGTTAAGACGGAGAAGATATAGCCTACAGAAGATAGTGACAATTTCGTAAATATTTTGAAATCAACTTCGTATTAAAAATAATTAAAAAACAAATTAAAACAGTTCTGTGGACCGGGCGTCGTTTTTGAAAAATTGCAGGGGCTGAAACAGAAAATCTAGGGGCATATGTTGAATTATTTTCAAGAGAGGGTGGACTGCGGGTTGATTAGAAAGAAATAGAGGGGGTTTTAACAAAAAGGCGGGGGCTGACCGATATTTGACCGGTATTGACTTCGGTCAAAACAGATCTGAGCAGTAGATCTTGGAGTGGATGGCCAAGAAAAGAAGGCAGAGAAAGAGGGGGTCTGCTAGCCGGAACAGTACGGCGCCATTGCCGGCTGCGGCGTAACCTCGCCAGAGAGAAGGGGAAAAGGGCCTACAAGCCACGGTTGCTTCAACGGAGGACACGGGGAGGTAGATCTCGAGCTTGTGAACACGACTGGGGTACCGGTTGAAGTCGGAGAGGAATGGTGACGGTGGCACACACGTTCTTGCGGCTCAGCTTCAACAGCGAGGTTGTGCGAGGTACTGAGAGCGAGAGGGAGAGAAAGGAAAGTACTAGAGGTTCCCTTACCATCTTACGAAGCGGGGCAGGGCTCTGATTCATCGACGAAGCAGCTCTGTGGCGGACCGAGCAACAGCGGCGGCGGCTAGGGTTTTGCGGCGACGCGAGAGAGCTCAAGGGCGTGGCTGCTGCGATTAGGGTTCGGGCACGGGTTGCGGCGTGGCTCAGGGAGCTATTTATGGGGCTGGTGCGGCTTGGGGCGCACGCCAAGGCAAGGACAGGGCGAAGGCGGAGTTTGCATCGAGGTGGAGTCCCGGGCGGGGATGACGCAAGGTAGGAAACGACATTGACGACCGAAAGATCAGTGAAATAGGGTGTGGGGTCAGGCTATTAGTGAGCCAAGGAGGGAAGGGCGCGTGGGCGCAGCTGCCGCTGAGCAGGCCTCGAGCGAACTGGGCCTGCGGCCGAATAGAGGGAAGAGAGGAAGGGAGGGAGCTCTCTGGGCCGGCTCGGCCCACGCGGGTGAGTGAGGGAGAGGGAAACGAGCTGCGGCCGATTGGGCCAGCAGGCCAAAAGGAGGGAGAGAGCTAGCCGGGCTGAAACAGAGAGGGAGAGCTGGGTTTAGAGAAAGAGACCGGGGAAACAGAGCAGCTGGGCCGGGCGCTAGATGGACTACGGAATGGGGAAGGGAAGCGGAGCAGGCCAAGCCTTCGGGCCAAATCCGAAAGGGGAATTTTTTTTTCCTTTTCTATCATGTTTTCAAAACCAAATTCAATTATGAATCAAATGCAAATTCAAATAGAGTTTCAAATATATTTTTCACTCGAATGGAAATGAAAATTTTTGGTAAGTTTTCCAAAAATAAATTTTACAACTTTTTAAACTCTTTTATTTTCAAATTTTCTTTTCTTTTATTTCAAAGCCATTTTTAATTTCATTTTCGAAAGCATTTTAAATTCATTTTGAATTTTGGATTCAACCACTCATTACAATAGATCAAATGCACCGGCATGTATGCACATACATGTTGCTACTCTGTATGATGAATTTTAATTTAATGAAAAATTATTATTTCCCTATGTTTTCATGAGCACAAAATACAAAATTAAATCAATTTATATCTTTTTTGAAAAGAGCAATTTTTAGGGTGTTACAGAATTGGTCGTTGGATTCGGTATATGGAATGCAATTTGGCTCCGGCGTTCGAGGGATGCCATTGGCGAAGAAGAAGAAGAAGAATAAGAAGAAGGAGATGAAAGAATCTGGATAGAATATTATATATTTTTTATTTCAAATTTTTTCATTTGTAATTTAGGAATGTATGTGACAAGATTTAATATAAAGTCTTCCTTCCCTTCGAAAAAAAGAATATAAGAATATCTCCTCGCATCCAAACACTTAAACCAAGGCATGGCATGGATATCTCCTCGCATCCAAAGTAGAAGCTCACTTACAAAGAGTCGTAGTCACCCAAAGCTAAAGCTATTGGAATGACCACTACTGCGTGAATTATTGGGTCACCGACGACTTGGCTTGGATCGCGCGGCAGACAGCAATGGCACATATGTTGTGACGATCGTATCGTGAGTGAGTCAGCAAACTATTTGTACTGGGCCAACTGGCCTACAACCACTATAGAAGTTTATTTATCATGCATAGTTCGGAGCAACTAAAGAACTTGACGCCATTGGAATGGAACAGCAAACCAATAGCAAGATGGCTCCCACTAAGCATCGCTTCCCCATGCTCCTGCTCCTGCTCCTATGCTCCTACCCCGCAGAAGCTGCAGCCATGATCAACAGCACCAAAGCACCTTGCCTCCCAGCACAAGCTTCTTCCCTCCTCCAGCTAAAAGGTTCCTTCATCGTTGCCAACGCCCGCTTGTCATCATGGCAAGCTGGAACAGACTGCTGCCACTGGGAGGGCATCATCTGCAACACGGGCTCCGGGAGAGTCATTTCTCTTGACCTCGGTGGGTTCAACTTGATGAGCCATCGTCTACACCCTGCGCTCTTCAACCTCACCTCTCTCAGGAATCTCAACCTTGCTTTCAATGACTTCACTGGCGTCCGCTTCCCAGCATCTGGGTTTGAGCGGCCCACAGATATCACCCCTGAACTTCTCCCAACCTACTTTATTGGTCAGATCCCCAGTGGGATTTCCCGCCTCAAGAACCTTGTCGCTCTTGATTTTTCTGATAATAACGGCTTGTATCTTAAAGATTCAAGTTTCCAAACTTTTATGGCAAATATGAGCAATCTGAGGGAGCTCCATCTTGATTGGGTGGATCTATCTAGCACTGGGTCGACTTGGTCTGCTGTTTTAGGGCATGCAGTTCCTCAGCTACGGATTCTGAGCTTGTCTCAGTGTGGTTTATCAGGTTCTATTGACCCTTCCTTCTCAAGGCTTGGCGAACTGACAACAATCAACTTCGGGAGTAACTATGAGTTGTATTTTCAAGAGCCAAATTTCCGAACCTTCATGGCAAATATGAGCAATCTCAGGGAGCTCCGTCTTGATTCAGTGGATTTATCTAGCAGTGGGTCGACTTGGTCTACTGCTTTAGCAGACTCTGTTCCCCAGCTACAGATTCTTAGCTTGCATGCGTGTGGTATATCAGGTTCTATTCACCCTTCCTTCTCAAGGCTTCGCTCACTGGCATCGATCAACTTCAGAGACAACGAATTCAGTGGCAAAGTCCCTGAGTACTTTTCTGAACTGTCTTCCTTGAGCAGCCTTGACATATCAGGCAATCATTTTGAAGGGCAATTTCCAACAGAGATCTTCCAGCTAAAGAGTTTGATGATGCTTGATTTACATGCGAACCCCATGCTTTTCGTGAGATTTACATATTTCCCAGCTGGAAACCGTTTGCAGTACCTGGATCTAGCGGGGACCAACTTCACTTATGACACGCCACTCTCTTTTGCCAATCTGACGTCTCTCCAGACTTTGAGCCTTACCACGGGAACCATGCCCAAGGAACTCCCCACTTCAATAAGGTTTCCGTCACTGAATGGACTGGAACTAGAGGGATCTGGCTTGGAGAAGCCAGTACTATCTTGGGTTGGCAACCTTAAAGATTTGAAATACCTGAGCCTCGATGGCTATGACTTCTCTCAATCAACACTCTCTTGGATCAACAACCTGACAAGGCTTGAAACGTTGTATATATGGACTTGCAGTGCCTCTGTGCAGCAAATACCATCATTTATAGGCAATCTTACAAAGTTGACATAATTGACCATTGTTAGTTTCAATTTTTCTGGCCCAATACCGTACCAGATTGGAAATCTTGCCAATTTAAGAGAGTTGTCCATTGAATTTTGTGACTTCTCTGGGTACCAAATACCATCATGGATCGGCAATCTTACAAAGTTGATATCTCTGGACATTTCTGATAACAATTGTTTATCTGGGCCAATACCCTCAACAATTGGGAACCTGATCCAAATCAAATGGCTGCGGCTTTCTAGGAACAACCTCACCGGTGAGACTCTCAATCTCAATTGGTTTCTTCCAATACTTCTGCCGTTGTAGATACGTCTTAAATCAATATTACATGCCGTACTTAAATGGTCAAGATTCAAGAGGCTAAAATAGGGAGGGGGTTACAAGAGGTCGATTAGACTTTTAGGCTCTTGTGGAACAAAGATAAAGTTGAACTATTTGAATCTTTTCAAAAAAAATATGTTGAACTGTTTGAATGATATATACGAAAATTGTTCTCGGAGACCTTTTGAAACAAATGAATGAGTTCCTACAAATCCTGAAAATACTATGGAATAGCTTGTTTTTTAGGAATTTGGAAGCATTCTTGACTTCTTTTGGTTCCTATGAATTGAGAGGAATTGCAAAATAATTTGATAATAAAATGGGAAGCCCTTTTTAGATATTGGTTTTAATTTATGGGATTCAACCATACCCTAAGAGATTTGTTAGATATTTAGGCATATGGATGGGAATGGGTCGGATCGACCCAAAATAAGGCATAAACACTAATGTTAATAAGGATAACAAATAAACTCCACGGTGCAAAAAAGTCACAACTTCAATTTGGTGCATTATTAAGATGTAAGCAAAATCCTGAAATATATATGCATCTACTTAGAGAAAATGAAGAATATTGTTATGTTAAGTACAAGTGCATACTGGATTTCGTTATACATTAATAAAATTGGGAATGTTCTGACTAGTATTCTGTCGGCCATGCATGCAGGAAACATTCCAGAGTCTCTGTTAGCCCTTCCAGCCCTGCAATATCTTAATCTTGATACGAATCAGCTTTCCGGTTCCTTGGAAGACTTTACTCATCCTTTATACTCAGGATTTTCGCAAATTAAGGAAATTGACTTAAGTGATAACCAATTGACAGGCCAAATACCCGAATCACTTTTTCAGCTTGCAAACCTCCAGATTCTGTATCTCGACTCAAATAAATTGATGGGTACAATAAAACTTATCTCTATCTGGGGGTTGACAAATCTCAATGAGCTTGACCTGTCTAACAATATGATATCACTCATAGACACCGAAGGTGATACTATAGCTCCTTATCTTCCTAGCATCGAGTACTTAAATTTTGCATCTTGCAATCTTAGAGAACTTCCAGATGCACTTAGATATATTGACACTATTACAGACCTTGACCTTTCTAATAACCAAATTAAAGGGGCTATACCAAGTTGGGTGTGGGAGAACTGGAAGGACCAGCTTAACACTTTGGACCTTTCACACAATTTGTTTACTACATTAGAGAAGTCACCTTCTCTTGTTCATATGACGAATTTAGCCTTTCTTGATCTAAGTTCTAATAGACTTGAAGGAACCATACCAATACCAGTAACCGGATCTGAGGTTAACGTTGTTGTGTTGGATTACTCAAATAATAGCTTCTCCTCCATTGTATCTAACTTTGGTAGGTATCTTATGAATGCTATCTATATCAATTTGTCCAAAAATAAATTAAGTGGTCATATACCAGCTTCGGTTTGTAGTTTGAACAAACTTGATATCATGGACTTATCTTACAACTACTTTGATGGACCAGTCCCATCATGTCTCGTAGAAAGAGGAAACCTGACTGTATTAAAATTAAGAGAAAACAGACTGCATGGGGTGCTGCCAAAAAATATTGGAGAAGGATGTAAGCTTCAAACAATAGATCTGAATGGAAATAGAATTGAAGGTACACTACCTACATCACTAGAAAATTGCCAAGACTTAGAGTTCCTTGATGTTGGTAATAATCATATTGTTGGTTCATTTCCATCTTGGGTGGGTACTCTTCCAAACCTTCAAGTTCTTGTATTGAGATCTAACCAACTCAATGGCACTATAAGGGATCTTCACAGTGTCAGTAAAAGTAATATAAGTTTCACAAGTTTGCAAATAATTGATTTATCCACCAACCATTTCTCTGGTTACTTGCATTCAGAATTGTTTGAGGGTTTTAAATCTATGATGAATAACAACAA